AGCTCCACGCGGATCCTGAAGCAGGTGACTCGCCATTAGGGGGACAGCGCGCCCCTGCACAAGCCTGTCTGCTGGAGCCTGCACATAACTGCCAGCACCACTGAAGAGAAAGGGCTTCTGCCCCTCTGCTTCCAGCCTCGCACACGTATATCTCATTACAAGCATCTTAGTAGAGCAGCAAGGGCATCTGGAAAAGGTCAGCCCTCCTGCCCCTGCATTACTGTAAAAGTGGTAGACATGGATCCTTGGGGCCATCACACCACCTTTTTTAAAAATATGTTTTTATTGATTTTTTAGAGAAGAAGGGAGAGAAACATCGATCAGCTGCCTCCTGCACACACACACACACACACCCCAGGGATCAAGCCCACATGTGCCCTGACCAGGAATCGAACCAGGACCTCTCGGTCCATGGGAGGACATTCAATCCACTGAGCCACACCAGCCCAGCCGTCACACCACTGTTTCCATGAGACCCTCAAAGGTCTTCCGGGCCCAGGAGACGACTGACAATGAAGCCACCAGAGGTCTCTGGCGAGGAAGGAAAGCACAGAGCCGCATGCCCACGCGGTCAAGCTGACCCTGCACTGGGTTAGGAACAGAGGCACCTGCTTCATGTTGGCCCACGCAAGTCCTGGGAAGACCCTCCGGATTGTGAGCTACTAAGAGGCCCAGGAGGACCACAAGAAAACCTTGTCGCAGGTGGGAGACCCTGGTTGGAAAACACAATGGGAGCAGGTGAGGGTGGGGGAGGGGGCCTCCATCGGCTGGGCAAGGCTAAAAGTTCCCATTTCAGACTAAACTGGGGCGGTTCTACTCCTACTCATTTCATGTAGAGATTTCCCGTAAGATTTTATTGGGAAAGACACAGACATATAAAATAAATAAACAGTGAGACGGGAGGGAGGAGCATGGGAAAACCACTTTCTTGCACCGCACCTGGCAAAGCCGCCCCATCCCTAGGAGGCCAGTGACACTCACAGCAGAAGCACTGGTCACAGTGCAGGGAGCACCTGCCCCCCGGACCAGATGGGACGAGTCCTGAACACATCGATGTATCCCTCCATCACTGAAGGACGGCTGAGGAGGCAGCGCCGTGGGCAACACGAACACCCAGAGGACCTGTCCCTGTTCTCCAGGTCCCATTTCTCTGCCAGCTTCTGTCGTTTAAAAACCTAAATCCCACAGCGCGCTGGATGCCCGCTTCAGACCGTCCAGGGGCTCCCTCCTCCCCTCAGGCATGAGGCTCACAGTCACTGCACCTGTTTACTTTTCTGGACCCATCTCACTGCACCCCCCGTGGCCCCCAGGAACCAACCAGAAGTACTCACTCCCTTCACACCAGGCCTTCAGTGTTCCCTTTACTTGGAACTCTTTCCTCCTCGTTCAGTTAGTATTCATTCATTCAGCCTTTATTACTGTGCACCTGTGCAGGCGCTGGATCCCCGGACCTTGGGGAGACTCAGCAGCTCTGCTCATCGGGCTCCACTTTGTCAGGCTTCCATTCAGCACCGGCCTGTCTCCAGGAGGCCCCTCCTGGCCCCTCCCCGCCCAAGTTAAGCAGGAACCTCCAACACACACATGCACATTCCCCCAGCAACCTGCGCTTGGCTTGCAGACAATCCACTCAGCTCCAACTTCAATCCACTCAGCTCCAGCTTCCTCCCCAGACTGAGCTCCGTGAAGGCAGAGGGCCAAGGTCTGTCTGGTTCACTCCAAAGCCACAACAGCAGGAAGAAAGGAGGAGATGGATAAGTCTGGGTTGAACTGATTAGATCCTGGATCCCAAGCCTCTCAGCTGCAGTTCTTCCATCCGCCTTATGCCCTGCAGACCAGGCTCAGTCGCTGCCTTCTCGACCCCCCTCTGACCCACCCCCAGGCATCTCAGAGAGAGTATACATCCTGTAGTCACCTCGCTCCCTGTAAAACGAGGGCACTGAACAAGCCCGTTCCTGCAGACTTGCTTCCAGCTCCGTAAAACTGAAATTCTCGATCTGTGATGGAGAAGGGGCTGGCAAATCAAGTTCTTTACAACCTCTGTTCCAGATTCATTCTACTTTCACCTGTTAACTTGGAGCAGCTTCATCTGTGCCCCTGCCACCGCACCATTTGTTAACAAAGATAAACATGTTGCCCTGCCCTTACCCTGGCTCTAAGCAACTACCTTCCATCTGGATTCACGTCTGTCCCAGTGGACAGAAGACCACTGCTCACGAGTTCACCCCTACCAGGCACTGGACCTCCACCCCTTAGGCTGTGTGAGGGCATCGCCGGCTGCTCAGGCCCGGGACGCGCGTGATGGGCTCCTGGCTGGACGGGCCCTGCCTGCCCAGCCCTGCCCAGCCCTGCCCACCCACCTCACCTCTCCTCCAGTCGGACCACAGGTCGCTGAACTGCTGGAGATGCTGTCACAGCCCCACTTCTGCCAGGACAACTGCGCCCCCACCTGGCAGGTGGGCACTCCCGGCAGGGACCCGTAGGGCGGCGACAGTGAAGGCACCGCAGACCCAGCTTCCGGTACCCAGGCTCCCAGGGTGGCTACTTCAGGAGCAGGGAGGGCAGAGGAGGTGCTGCAGTGAGGGGCTTTTCCTCCTCTCTGGAGCAGGGGTGACAGGAAACGGGGTGATGGGTCACCCCCCCCCGCCAGGAGCAGGCCCAGTTCTGAACCACGACCCGAAGAACCGCAGAGCTCAGTTTCCATGGCCCCGTGTGAGGAAGGGAGGCGGTGTGAGATGAAAAACACCAGGTTGGGCAAAAAAGGTAAAAGAAGGGAAATCCTCAAATGGCAAAGGAAGATAAAAGGCCCCTATTATGAGCCATGGAATAAAAATGAGCTTGAGCCCTGGCCGGTTTGTCTCAGCGGTTAGAGCACTGGCCAGTGGACCAGAGAGTCCCGGGTTCGGTTCTGCTAAAGGCATGTACCTGGTTGCAGTTTGTCCCCGGCCCCGGTTGGAGTCGTGTGGGTGGCAACCAGTCGATGTGTCTCTCTCACGTAGATGTCTCTCTCTCTCTCTCTTCCTCCCTCTCTCCCTCCCGCTCTGTCTGAAGATGAATGCAAAAATGTCCTTGGGTGAGGATTTAAAAAAATGAGCTAGACTCATTCTGCTGTGCAGCCTTCACATATCTGATGTCCTGGGGAATCATAACACCCACTTTACAGCTGAGGACACTGAGGACCAGGCACATAATCGACTTGCCCTAGGCCCCAACAGGATTCCATGCCATTTTCAAATAACATTCATCACTGAGATTTTTTTCCCAGGTTATAAAGCAAATCCGTTCTCACTATGGAAGATATGAAGTGTGTAGCAGATTGTCCCTTCAGTCTCCAGGGAGAGGTCCCAGAGACAATGCACACATGGCTCGGGCACAGGCTGCAGGAGCCCTGGGGTGGTAGGGCAGCTGCTTCTCTGCCAGGACAGATCACCCCAGCTGTTGAACACACCCCAGTCCATCCCAGAGCTCCGGCTGGCCTAAGCATTCCATCCCAGGGTCGGGGTCCAGGTCCCCATGTTTTCATCCATCCGAATTCCCAAAGTTTAGCTAAACCTCTAGTCACCCCTGAAGGCTTGGCCCGTGGCCGTTGTGGCCACAGTACAGGGACTACCGCTGTGCCGACAGACTGCTTGTCCCACAGACTACTCACTCCTTAGACATCTCCCAAGACTGACATGGCCTCTGTCCTGGGCACACACCCACAAGAGGACAAGCGACATCCAGGAAAGAGGGCAAGTGGTTCCCAGGAAAGAGCCAGGCTTGGAGCCTTGGGGTAGATAATTAGCTGAGTCTCTGCTGCTTCTGTCAAGGGGACAGATCTCCCCTGGTTGCTGTAAGGATGAAAGCAGCCCAGACACTATGCTTCATACGGGGCTGAGTACACAATAGACACTTCGTGTGCATACTCCTTTCCCCCAATCCCTCTCTCTGGTGGTGTATGTACCCCAGCAGAGCTGACCAGAACCTCGGAGCGCCCCACTATGTACCCAAATGGACATCTGCCAGATCCTCATTGGTGTCTGTGGTAGGCAGAATAATGCCCCCCAAAGACGTCCACATCCTAATTCTTGCAACTTGTGAATACGTTGCCTTACTTGGGGAAAGGGATTTTTGCAGATAAGATGAAAGACCTTGAGGTGAGAGATTATCCCAGATTGTGGGCGGACCCAATCTAATCACATGGGCCCTTAAAACCAGAGAACTTTTCTATGGCACCTGAGAGATGTAGCTTCGGAAAAATAGAGATACAATGTTGCTGGCTTTGAAGATGGAGGAAGGGGCCACAAGCCAAGAAATGTGAACTGCAAAAAGCAAGTAAACAGATTCTCCCCTAGAGCTTTCAGGAGGGAAGGCTGCCCTGCCAACACCTTGATTTCAGACCCACGAGACCTGTGTCAGCCTTCTGATCTACATAAATGTAAGATAATAAATCTGTGCTGTTGGAAGTCACAGAGTTTATAGCAATTTATTACAGCAGCAAAAAAAAAAAAAAAAAAACAAGCACGAATACAGTATCCATTATCCTGGGAAGGGGGAGATACTGCCTAAACCCTCCACCCAGCAGGACCCCATCCTTCCACTTGTATGCCCAGGGAAGGACAGACTCACAGCCAGGGCATTGCTAACAGGCGGAGGGTAGTGGTGCCAATTGCCCCCACCTCTGGCTTCCTAAGGCTCACCTGCCCCAATACCCGGGCGCTAGAGGACCTACAGTAAACTAGCTCACCATTTAGCAGCCCTCCTGTCCCCACCCACACCCACCTGCCCCAGATTCAGGTTCCAAGTGATCAAAATCACCCTCAAGGATCGTCACATGGCTGCTGAGGAGGGGAAGAAGGAAGCAGGTGTGTCCACAGCCACTGCCCTGTCCTCCTCGACACCCGTCACTAGGGGCATCTCCCCTGCTCTAGGCCCCCTGCCCTGCTCCTCCTGAACAAGAGCTCCTGTGGAGACGCCAGGCGCCCGCATGGCCTCACCTTGGAGCACCGTGGGCAGGCTCACCACTAACGGAGCACATCCTGCGTGCCAGGCATCAGGACAGCCACTGCAGAAGCCACACCAAGTCCCTTGGGATCGTGCAGGAGGCTGAGGCCAGGCAGGGGCAGCAAATGAATCCCTGGCAGAGGAAACCACAAGAACAAAGACAAGGGGCTGGAAAGTCAACGCGGGAGAAGAAAGGGGAGGGCTGTGCAGGCAGAGAGGTCCAGACCGTGTCCTGGCTCTGATTAGCGGTGTCACCTGTCACGGTTTCCTCATCAGTAAAGGAGAAGCAGCACCCACCTCTCGGGCTGGTTTCGAGGATTAACTGAGAGTCCGTGTGAACCTGGCCACCTGAAAACCGGTCAACGATGTCCTTTCCTCCCCTGCAAAGTGTGAGCAGCGCAGTTTGAGGACAGCAACCTGTTCTCGGCCTCACCGTGCATCAGAATCTCATGGAGACATTTTTCAAATATTGATCCCTGACCGCTCTTCCTCCAGGGACAGGTGTCAGGGCTTAGAGGCAGAATTAGGAGCCTAGGACAACCAGCAAAACACACACACACACAGCGGGGCCCTCTCTAGCACCCCAGGATAACATGTCAAGCCCCAGCCCAGTCGATCAGCCTGGGGCTGGGGGCTGAGAATGTATCAGGGGGCTCAACCCACTGTGCTTTCCAGGGTACACAGTCCAACAGAAGAGGAAAAACCCACAGGCCCCCCCAAACAAGCAGAGAGCTACTAAGGGCCAGGCTGTCCCTCCAGAGCTGCAGGACAGGAGGGAGAGACTCACGGCCACCTGAGCGGCCAGCAGAGCTGAGCGAAGGAGGGGCAGCGTTTTCCCCATCAGCGCGGGGACAGGGCGCTCAGACGGGAGAGCACCAACAAAGGTGGGCAGGCAGCAGCCAGGACAGGTGTGCTGCTGGGAAAAGGCATCAGCACGAGGGAACTGGACTTGGGGAGAGAACAGTGAGAAACCACTGAAGGCTTCTGAGTAAGGGACACTCAGTAAGGTCCCAAAAAGGTGAAGAACGGTCCAGAGGGCGCTGGCCGGGAGGTTAGAGAACAGGGGCGAGTCCCGGACAGGCTGCAGGGGAGGAAGCCAGAGGCCTGGTGAAGGTGAGGGTTTCTGTGAACTCGAAAGGGCTGTGTGATGCCAAGTGCGGGCGATGGGGAGAGGTGGGGTAAGACAAGCCAGGGTGTGTCCAAGCCGGGAAGGAAACAGAGAATGGTGGCTCCTGGACTGGAAACCTGACTACCAGGGAGACCCCTCTGGAGGGAGAGGACAGGGCTGGAGATGACATGGGTAAAGGCAGATCTCCCAAAGAGAAAGAGGGCACCCGGAAAGGGCAGCCATCGGGCAGCCACGACAGCTGGCCCCCTTCTCGGTGCCCCCAGCACAGGGACAGCTGCGATCTCTGCCAGGAGGGGGCGCTGGGGACCAAGATTAGGAGGGGTGGGTGAGAGGAATGGAGGGTGTGTTAGGGGCTGAACTGTGTCCCCCAAAATTCATATGTTGAAACCCTAACACCCAGTTCCTCAGATGTGCCTGTATTTGTAGAAGAGCCTTTACTGGGGTGACTAAGTTAAAATGAGGCTGTCAGGGTGTCCGTAGAAGAAGAGGAGGTTTGGACACAGAGACCCAAAGACTGTGGGCACAGGGAGGAGAGGCGACGGGAGGGCGGTAAGAAGGTGGCCATCGACCAGCCAAGGAGAGAGGCCCAGGAGAAACCACACCTGCTGACACCTTGGTTTTGACCTTCCAGCATTTACTGAGAACTCCGAGATGTGGACACTGTTTTTGGTGCTTTACCCATCATAACCCTTTGAGGTAACATAATATCACTCCACCTTATAGATGAGGAAGAGGCACGGATATATTAAGAAAATTGCAACTTGAACCCAGAGGGTCTGGCTCCGAAGTCCACACACTCAACCAAGTAGGAACGGAAAAAGCACTTGTCAAGCGAACAAACAGCCCCTATTAGCCAGGCTAACAAGTCAAACTATTCTCTTCGACTTCAGCACCCCTCCTACTCCAAAGGTAGGCTCCATGTCTTTTACATTTTATCTCCAGAGCTTTCCGTTTGGGGCTGTCCTCGCTTTCCAACTGAACCCGCTGGCTCAGCACACGAATTTCAAGATGCCACGCGGCCAAGGCTAAGTCTGGGAGCGACCTGAATGTCTGTGGTTCCCTGGTGGGACTCGCCGTGGAGGGAGCAGTCCCGGGAGGAAGGCGTGGCCCTCGAAGCTATCCAGACCCCTCCACACCCGAGGTGCCCAGGGACTGCAGTGTGAGAGTTGTGCCCTGCGAATCAGGAGAGCCCAGGTGTGGCAAGTCACCTGTGCCATCGCCTGACATAATCCCTTCAGAGGACCCCCAACTGCTCAGATCTAACCACCCCCGGTCGCCAGCCAACTAGCTGGCAGCCTCGTTCTGGCCCAGAACGCCTCGGGCACAGCAGCACCACAGGGCAGGCCACTGTCATCTCAGAGTGCCCACTTTCCCCTGGGCCCAGGGCCCAGTTATTCCAACGCTGGGCATTAGGGAGGCTCTTAGAGGGCGGTTGGGCCTGGCAGGAGTGGACGGTGACAGGGGCCCTGCGTGCCCTGCTCTCCCGTGCTCCAGTGTTGGGCGTGTTCCGTCAGCACTGCTGCTGAGACAAAGCCCCGGCTCTGTCCCAATGGAAGGCCACCATCACCCATCAGGGGAGGAGCCACGGGGGCATCTGTGGCCCGACGCCTGCCTGTGGTGCCTACAGGACAAGGTCCTGGCTAACAGCTCTGTAGAAAGCCATTTGTTGAGACAGGCCGGACGGGCCCAGAGCACCCCAGCACAGTGCGTGACCCAAACATGGACTATGAGACTCACAGAGGAGACCCGCTACAGACTCACAGGGGCCGCTGAGGCAGAAACTGCCATTTGTTTCCGTAGAACTTTTCAATGAACAAGACTTTGGAGCCCAGCCCCTCATTTTTCCTACAACAGCTTCATTTGAGTATGATTCACATAACATAAAACTCACCCTTTTAAAGTGTGCAACTTAAGTGATTTTTGGAATATTCAGAGTTGTGCGACCATCACCACTCTCTCATTTTAAAACATTTCATCAGCTGAGATTTTCATAGGGATTCTGTTGAACCTACAGGTCGACTTGGGGAATACTGTCACCTTGACAATATTTGTTCAGCCTTCCAATCCATGAACATGAGCTGTATTTCTCTCTACTCGGGTCTTCTTTAACCCTGTTCAATGACGCTTTTAGTTTTCATTGTACAAATTGCACTTCATTTGTTGAATGTAGTCATATTTTTTATGCTGTTGTAAATAGAACCGGTTTCTTAATTGCATCTTCAGATCATTCATTGCTAGGGTATAGAAATACAACTGATTTTTGTATATTGATCTTGTAGCCTGCATTATTGTAACCTGAACTCAGTTATTTGTTCTAATAGTTTTGTTTGTTTGTTTTTTGGTGGATTACTTAGGATTGTCTATACACAAGATCATGCCATCTAAGAGGTATTTTCCTCTCTCCTTTCCAGTTTGAATGCCTCTTGTTTCTTTTCCTTGTCTAACTTCCCTGGCTAGAGCCTTCAGCACGATGTTGAGGGGCAGTGTGGGAGCAGCCATCCTTGTCTCGTTCCTTATCTTAGGGAGAAACATTCTGTCTTTCATCACTAAGATGTTAATGTGGTTATTTCACAGCGAGTCTTTAGCAAGTGGATGAAGTTCCTCTCTGTTCCCGCTCTGATGCGTGTTTTCATCATGAAAGAGCGTTGCGTGTTATCAAACGCTTTTTCTGCATCTACAGAGATGATCATGTGGTTCTTGTCCTTTAGTCTATTAATATGGGGTATTACATTGATTGATTTTCAAATGCCGTGGTAGCCTGATTGATGATCCCCCAAAATATATCTGCATCCTAGTCCCTGGAACCCATGAATGTTATTTTATATCCACGCCCCCACCCCCCGCCCAACAAAAGGATTTTGCAGGTGTCATTAAGCTAAAGATCTTAAGATGGGGAGGTTATGCTGGACCACTCAGTCTGCCTTTCTGAAAGTGTTTCTCCTCAACCACCCCCCTCCCAATTTTACTGGGAAGACAAACCCTAGGGAGGTGACTTATCCAGGTTTATGACGCTGTTGAAAACGTAAGGAGAAAGCCTGAGTCAGCAAAAGCTCCTTTGCACACACCAGTCGCTGGCATTTCTGTCCTTGATTCCAGAGCCTCCTTGAGAAGAGGAGAGAATTACTTGATAAAGCTCACAAAAGGCAATGCTTTTCCCAGTCTGTCTGCAGGTACAGAGCTAGCATAGTTAATAGCAACAGCTGATGTATCAGCCCCAGGCCTTACGCTTAGGAGGCTGAGTCAGGTAGGGGACAAAAGACAGACAAATTGTAGTGGAAATAAAAACTGAAAGGTGGCCCTGGCCAGTTTGGCTCAGCGGTTGGAGCGTCAGCCCACGGACCAGAGAGTCCGGGTTTGGTTCCCGCTAAGGGCACGTACCTCGGTTGTAGTTTGTCCCCGGCCCGGCTGGGGTCGTGTGGGTGGCAACCAGTCGATGTGTCTCTCTCACATCCATGCTTCTCTCTCTCTCTTCCTCCCCCTCTCCCTCCCACTTTATCTAAAGATAAATGTAAAAATGTCCTCGGGTAAGGATAAAAAAAAAAAGTGAGAGGTGCCCGGAAGAAGCTGGGATTCAGTGCTGAGTTCAGAGTATCAGGAGCCCCCTGTGGAGAGAGACAGAGGTGAGGGGACAGGCACCAGCCCGTCCAGCAGCCTTTCAGCCACGCTGGAAACTCAGGCACCAGCGCGGCCACTTTGCAACTGTGCCAAGCCCGAGGCGTCCCTCATCTCACTCCTCCCAGGGCCATCCTCAGCATCCTCTTCATGGGGAAGCATCAGAGGCAGGGTCTAATCAGAGGTGACCTGCAACTCACCGGCTCCGAAGGCTAAGAAGCCTTTGCGGGGAAGTCCTCCAAAAGGGCCTTCACCCTCATTCCGCCTGCAGACAAGCTCCAGGTGGAGTAGCTGTTGCTCCTGCGCCGTGATGCCTTCCTCGGGTGGCAGGGTGGCATTAATAAAGTCGGAGATGCCACCAAAATAAAGAGAAAAGAAACTAAGGGCAAAAGAGCGGTGAACAAAGTTGCTTAATTTGAGCATCAAATCACCGAGCCTAGAGGTCAAGGTGCTGCCGAAGAGGAAGAGCGAGTGACCACCACTCTTGGAGTCTCCCCCCTGCTACTTTCAAACTGCAGGAGCATTTCTGGAACCCGAGTGACAAACGGTAAATGCAGTGCACTGAGAGCACCCTTCGGCTGTGGAAAACAGCGTTTCTGGTCCATTTCAATGATGTTGCGTGATGCCGTGTGTTTATATAAGAAGCCATAGCTTTGCATAGCACATCCATAGTTTAATTTCTTTAATGCATACATGTTTTTTTAAATAAAAATTACTTTACATAGTTAATATTTTAGAATCCATCATTACAATTCTACTACCAAAGGCATGGAATTTCTATAGACAGTCAACTGTTGTATAAATTCCATACCTCAACATTTTTATTATTTCTCCAATTCCTATTTCTCCCTCTTGCTTTCTCCAGTGTTCTTTGCCCTCCGGCAAACATTTCGCCTGATTCTGATATACACAGCCGGTTTCCGTATTTGGCTAACAGGGTGTTATCAAACCAAAGTCATGACAATCAGGGTGGTTCTTGTAACACAGCGGCTGTCGGTGGGCTGACACATTGCAGTCTCTCCTCGACCCATTGGCTGTCTGGCTTCCAAGCCTCAGCCTCCCCACCCCTTCTCCTGGGCGCATGCTCTCCTCTGCCCAGGGATCCAACAGGGTTAACCATTACCTTAGTCAAACACAGAACAGGACATCTACCCTGCCTGCTTCTGCTGTTACCAGTAGCCTCCAAGACCCCCCACAAGTCCTCACACCCTATAACACAGCCATCAGTTTCCATTTGATGGATAAACAACCTCCTGCAGCTATTCCCTCCGTATGATATCCTTTCATTTTCAAATCAAAAGCCTCATCTCCTTTCTCTTCTTTTTAACTATGTCACTTATGTAAGATCCTGCTGTCCGGCTCCCTAAATCTCTTCTCTTCAGCAGAGCGCTCCCTTTGTTCCGGGCGCCCGCACAGGCACCCAGAATGGAGACATCCCACTGCCCTCCTGCCCCACCTTCTAGGCGCCACACATGACCTGCGGCCGGCACCACTCAGCCCTGGGCAGCCTGGCCCTCGCTCCCCACGGCAGGCGCATTCCCCAAACCTCACACCACCTGCGGGGCCCTGAGCAGGGCAGGAATGGAGGCGCCACAGGAAAGAAATGTGCAAGACAGCTGTCCCCAGCTGCTCCAGCAGCCTTTCCGTTTGCCGATAAAACCTCCAAATCCCCCACCCATGTTCATTTTTCTCTGCTGCTTCAAACGTTCATCTCCCCACTGATCTTGACCTTTCTCCCCACTTCCCCCACTCACCAAGAACGTGCACGAGAAGCATGGCCGCCATGAACTCTGCTGTTCCTTCTTGGGTACAGTTCTCTTGCGTGCTTTGCCTTCGTTCACTTCCCCTACTCTGGACTCTCGGGGAAGCTCATGGGTCTCTTGGCACGTGTGGGTGATGCTGGAGTCGGCCTCTGTTGTCCCTGTCCCCAGCGCTGCCCTTCCTTCTTCTCCGCTCAGATCCCCTCACTTTTCCTCATGATGGGGTCCCCAGACCTGGAGAGCATCACCCACGCCCACCAGCCCCTTTCTGTCTTCCCCGGTGTCCTTCTGTATGAGGACACTGGTCCTGGTAGGTGGGGGCCACACACTACCGGATCTCAGAAGCTTACCTGGCACTTGCCACTTCCACGCAACCTTAGTGGGGACAGGAGGCAGGAGCCATGGCTTGTCCCATGGGAAGCTTGTTGATAGAAACATAGCAAATATCCAGACACCTCCCTCCTGTAGGGAGGCTGCCATCCTCTGCGCCCCCGCCAGCTGCTTCCTTCCCGGTGATGGCCCACAGGTAAAACCTGTCCTGGGTGAACTCCCTGCGCGCTCGGCCGTGCCCCGCAACACTGCAGGGTGGGATCCAGGTCTGGAAATGCTGGCAGCCCTCCCAGCCTCTGAGGTGCCACCGTGTGCAAACACCACGGACGCTTCCGTTGCATCGTGCTCACATGCTCCTAGAGCCGCTGGAAGCTGCAGAAAACATTCTGATCCATCGTTTCTCAAACGTGTCACCCAAGTCAGCCAGGAGGCTTTCAGACTCGGCTGCCTTCCCCGAAAGCTGGTTCACACTGCCTGCTGCTGCAGCATCACTGAAGCTTCATCCTTTGGCTCGGATCCTGGAATTAACTTTAATCCGTGCCCCTCTCAGTTCTTACGTTTCACAAAGAAGGCTTCTGGCAGCTGCAGCTTCTCATTCAACATCTACCTCTGCCCAATTTCATTTTCAGAGCCCTCCATGACCTTAATCCTGTGTACACAGGACATCCAGGTGTCCGCAGACAGCGCCTTTATTCTTGTTTTTAAGTGCATGCTGAGCTGGGCAGAGGACAGGGCCCTTACCTGTCATGCTGAAGGTGACGGAGCTGAGGTCCCTGCAGTTATACTGTTTGATGAGATCCTCTGTCGTGCAGGGGATCTGGTGACTGCCCCCTCACAGGCTCTTCTGATGCAGGAGGGTCTGGTTCAAAGCAAACACAGTGGAGAGTGGAGAAAACACAGTCCCCTTTAAGTTCACTGACACCGCCATCATTAGCTGCCCTCTTACTTCTTTTGTCTGTTTGACAATAGCCTCAGCTCTGTGCGCTGCTATTTAAAAAGGGAACACAGTCCAGCTGGTGTGGCTCAGTAGTTGAGCATCTACCCATGCACCAAGAGGTCACCAGTTCAATTCCCAGTCATGGCACATACATAGGTTGCAGGCCAAATCCCCGGTAGGGGGCATGCAGAGGGCGGCCAATCGATGTTCTCTCCCATTGATGTTTCTATCTCTCTCTCCCTCTCCCTTCCTCTCTCTCTCTAGAGTCAATTAAAAAAATTTTTTTAAGAAACTAAAAAATAAAATAAAAAGGGAACACAGCTTCCTGGTCAGTGTCCAAAGAAAAGGACAGTCCTGCCCAGGTCAGCCCAATTGGATCACACCCGGGGAAGTGCTTTAAAAGGGACAGAGACAACCTAGAACCCTCCCATGAGAGTGACGGAGAGGTGGGAGACCAGAGAGCTGGCTTGTGAGGAATGGCTGAAGAATCAGGAGGGGGGTGCAAGGAGGGGCTGGGGCACACAGACAGACACACATACCAATGGATTTTAATTGTGTGAAGCACTAGACGGGAATATACACACAATATACACAAGTCTTTTCTAACCATCAGTGTGGCACTTGCTGGCTAATGATGGATTCCTTGGGTCCACGGGATGTTGATGGAAGTTACTGTGAAAAAAGGGGGATATGAGGGCTAAACAAAATCAAACAGGTTTTATCTGCACACGACTTCTGAGTCTTTGCTACACTAACATATGATTTGTTTCACCCCAAGGGGGACAGAGGGTGCTGGGTTCCCAAACTTATCTGAGGAAAACATCACAAGAGAAGGGTTCGCTGGAACATCTTGTGGGAAAATCCAAATGCAAGGAATTTTACAAGGCAACGCTTTCTCTGTGGTACTGGGGAGCTGGTCAGAGGGGGAAGGTGGGGAGTCTGGCCCCAGGTGCAAAGAGGGGCTAGCCACCCTCTACAAGGCTCTGACATTACCCTGATCAGCAAAAGAGAAGTGACTGATGTGCACAACCACACGCAAACGGGGACCCTGGGCACCGCACCCACCACCCATCCTCCACCACCTAAGGCCAGGTCGCCGGTCTGAGCAGCCACAGACTGTGCAGAGCGTGCTACACGTGGCCAGGCCTCCAGGGGAAGAGGCCTCTGATGGGAAGGAAAAAACTGTCCTTTACCCTTCTAGGTTCTTCTGGCTGGTCTAATAATCAAATAGACACGAGACAGATTCACAAGAGAAAATGACCAAATTTAATTACATATGTATGTATGGAAACTCCACAGACATGAGAGAGTCGTAGGCAGAAAGGGAAAATGAGATATATATGATATCTTGAGCTAAGAAAGAGGTAAGGTACCTGAGGTTTCAGAGGGATGGAAGGTCATTCACGGGATTATAAGAGCAGATGTTCAGTAAATAGAAGTTTGCCCTGCTTTGTAGATAAGTCATAAAAAAGTTGTTTCTAGCCCTGGCCAGTTTGGCTCAGCGGTTAGAGCATCGGCCTGCGGTCCGGAGAGACCCGGGTTCGGTTCCCGCTAAGGGCACGTACTTCGATTGCAGTTTGTCCCCGGCCCTGGTTGGTCGTGCGAGTGGCAGCCACTCGATGTGTCCCTTTCACGTCGATGTTTCTCTCTCTCTCTCTCCCTTCCTCTCTCTCCCTCCCACTCTATCTGTACAAAAAATGGAAAAATATCCTCGGGTGAGGATAAAAAAAAAAAAAAAAAAAAGTTGTTTCTAGTAAGAACTCTTAGTATGGGCAAGGCCTCAATTTAAATTCTTTAAGGGAAAGGTAAGAGTTTCTCATGAGTCTGCAGGGTCTAGATTGCCTTCAGCTCAAAATAATTCACATGCCAAAGCGGCACATCTTGGGGAAGCCTGTGCTGAACACTTTTACCCCCAAGACCTTAGACCTAACTAAGCTACTTCCCTTGAAACCTATAAAGATCTCTGTCCTCAACCATGGTAAATAGCAGCTATGTCTGAAATAGCCGCTGGCCATTTCTGCTATCGTCATTGTGTCCCTTGCATAGGAAGACTTCTTACTATCGGGAAAAACGCATCCATGTCTTGAGGCCACCAGTGGAGGGTCTTGGCAGAACCCAGGCCATCCCAACTGGGGGTACAGTGGACATGCCTGTGTCCATGGCACAGGACAAGCAGAATACAGTGGAAGTCTCCGCAGACACACGAGGAGACAGGCTTAGATGTTCTTTGGGACGTATCCTACAATACTTTTGTCATTCCCTGAGGCTCACCTGCGAGATGCATTGTAGTTGGAAGGGCTCAGGGCCTAATAAGCCACCCCTGGGGGACTTGCCACCTTGGAGGGGTTTCCAGTGCTTCTCCAGAAGATAGTGAGCCCTTCATTTTGAAAACCTGCTATCCCGCCCTGGCCGGTTTGGCTCAGCGGTTGGAGCGTCGGCCTGCGGTCCAGAGAGACCCGGGTTCGGTTCCCACTAAGGGCATGTACCTCGGTTGCAGTTTGTCCCCGGCCCTGGTTGGTCGTGTGGGTGGCAGCCACTCGATGTGTCCCTTTCACGTCGATGTTTCTCTCTCTCTCTCTCTCTTCCTCTCTCTCCCTCCCACTCTATCTGAACAAAAAAATGGAAAAATGTCCTCGGGTGAGGATAAAAAAAAAAAAAGAAAAGAAAAGAAAACCTGCTATCCCAAGCCAGGCACTCTGGTCTATTGTGGGACATTTTTAACAATTAGAAATTCCATCCTTCTTTCTGAGCTCGCTATCTCTCCATGATTGTCTTGTACTCATTTTTATAGATATCAATACAATGCGTGTTTCCACAAATTCACAATTTGTTAGCAGGCACCAAAATGGGAAATCTCTCCTATAGAAACACTAGCACAAGTGTGTAAAAAGTAAGAGTATGGGGGAACCACAACAGTGCTCTCCCTGGCTCTGGGACTCTTCAATCAAAATTGAAATGACCGTATAGAGGAGATTCCCACATTGAACAGGAGGTTCGATGTAATGACGTCAAATGTTCTTCCACCTGGGAGTCCTTGATTTATTCCATCTCAGGCAGTGAGGGAAACAGGCTCTCTGGGCTCGCTGTCTGTCCTCTCTGTCTGTCCTCGCTGTCTGTCCTCGCTGTCTGTCCTCTCTGTCTGTCCTCTCTGTCTCGCTTGTTTCTCCTCACAGGCCTTAGGGCTCTACGGATGGAGAAGAGCAGGATCAGGTGTCCATCCGGAGCCTCCACGTGGTCCCTAAGGTGTCTCACTATGGGTCCTCCTCTCATTATGCTGGGGGAGGGAATCGGATGCCCACCCCAAACCGTGTTCGTGGAAGGTCCAGTGTATCCACCCAAGTATATACTCTTCTGCGGTCATGAAACCTAGGAGTAGCCACAAGGACTACAGTGGGTGCCCTGGGTGTGACAGCAGCCAAGTCTGCAGGCCCAGGACAGACAAATGCAGCCAGGACAGGAGCAGCCAGCCAGCGTCCAGGAAGGAGCACAACCAGCAGGACCAAGGCAGGGAGGGGGCGCTGCCAACATGTCCACACAGAGTGTGAACAGGATGGAGGGAGGTGCTGCGAGCTTGCCCTCGGAGGGTGCTGTCGCCAGGAGCCAGTCTCCCCAGAGGGCAGCAGGAGCGTAGGAACGGCCAGGATGACCAGCGGAAGGTCGGGTGATGGGACTCCTCGTCCCACGCACAGCGAAAGCTCCGTGAGTGAACGGGGCGGAAGCCAGAGCTCCCAGGACAATGCTGACGCCCTGAAGGAAAAGGCAGAGCTTCTGGTAGGATCACAGGGGCGGGAAAGCAAGTCCATCTGTCCGAGGTGGTCAAGGGACCTCTGGCCCGAGTCAGTACTCTGAGCCCCCGGTCTTGTCCTGTTTGTAGGAATGAATTCAAACAAGAGACAACACAGAGCAGCAAAAGCAGGCGAGGATTTATTTGTAGGGAAGAAATACGCTCAGATAGAATCTGAGCAGGCAACTCAGCTGGCGGACACCGAACCGAGGGGCCTGATATTTGGGAGTTTAGAGGACTTGTCCCCCGAGGCTGGAACACCCCTAGGCAAGGAGCCAGTCACCCCACCCCCCCCCACCCCCACCCCCGTGTCTCAGAAACACGTGTCTTCATTAGGCTCCTGCGCCCACGTGTTAGCCGCCGGTTAGACCACGTCCTGGGGAGGCCCTGGGCCTCTCCCCATACAGGGCCTGCCACAGCCTTGTCTGTTTTCCCTTTGTCACGTCCCACACGCTGTCCCCAAGCCCAGCTGCCTCCCCAGCTCATCTCTCTCTCTCTCTGCCGCTGGAACACAGTAAAAACCGCCTCCTTGGCTTTGCGGACGCGGCACGGCGCACAGGCAGCCGGCGGCAACTGCAGCCCGAGGCGCGGGCCACCTTCCGACGTCCGGACTGCGGGCCACACCGCGCGCAGCGGGTACAGCCAGGGCCGCCTCTGGCCGCACAGCTCGTCGCTAAAACCCGGGAGCGCCTGGGGTCCCCGGATGGGATTGGTGGAAGGACAGCTTCTGGGGAGCAGGGGCGACAGTCTGGCGAGGGCACCACCCCTCTTGCAGACCCTGAGAGGCCTCCGTGGGGCCGATGGCAGCAGCAGAGTGAACGACCGCCACGAAGGGACTGCGGTGTCAGGGCAGCTTCGCAGAACCCGGGGTTGGGCCCGCAGCCGATCCAGGGGACTGACTTCCAGCCCGGGCGCCTGCCCGGCCCACGGGAGGCGGGGAGCCGCGGAGAAGGCGGCGCCCCCGCGAACCCGGGCCCCGCCCGCACCCGCTCCACGCCGCCGCCGGCCAGTCTCGCCCCGGCTGCGCGCGGGCTGCGGAACCCGGGGCCGGGCCAAGCGGCCGGAGCCACGCTGAGACCGGGCGGCCGCGGCGTGGAGCCATGGAAACCTGCTCCAGCCTGAAGATCCCGGCCCTAAACGTTTAATGAAAGAAGCGGCAGGATTGAAAGATCCAACAGATCGTTGCCGTGCACAGTCTTTAGAGGATGACCTTTTGGAATGACACTTCACAGAGCGCCCCCAGATTCTGATTTGATGGGGGAGTTCATCATGGACGAATAGTACTGCCACCAGAGTATCCCGTGAAGTCACCAAGCATTATTCTTCTAAGGGCTAATGGTCGGTTTCAAGTAGGCAAAAAAATCTGAGCATCTGACATTATCCTGAAACTTGGCAGCCTTGGTGGAGTATAAGAGCAGCATTCTTTGCCATCACTGGGTTTGTGCCAATAAAAGGAGAGGGAGCCGTAGGTCCTCTAGATTACACACCTGAGCAAAGAAGAGCACTTGCCCAAGAAATCTCAAGATTTCTGTTGTGAGGGAAGGATGTCCTAGTGCCTTGAAAATCTGGAAGCGAGCCCTAGACAGTTTGGCTCAGAGGTTGAGCGGCAGAGTCCCCGGTTGTGTTCCGCTAGGGGCACGTACCACCAAAAAAAAAAATCTGGAAGCGATTCAAGCAAGGCTGACCAAGGAGCCAAGGAACTGGCTAGACAAATCAGTTTTCTTTTTTGTTTTTGTTTTTTTTAGAGATTCAATTCTATTGCAAGAAGGGATGTAAAACTTATCTGCCTTCAAAATATAAAATGTAAGACATTAAGAGATGGGCTTAAATTTGAAGAGGACACAACGCTGATGTATCAATATCTTGATTTTGTGTGGGTGGGTGGGTGTGATTGTAAATGATTTTTTAAATTAATTTATTTATTTTTGTTACAGATGTTTCTCTTTTTTCCCCACTGATTCCCCCCTCCCACTCCCTCCCCGCCCTGTCCCTACCTTTGATGTCCACTTCCATTGTTCATGCATACATGCATATAAGTCTGTCAGGGTTTATCTCTCCCCCTCACCTCCTCTTCTGGGGATTGTCAGTCTGTACCTCACTTCCACATCTCTGGGACTACCCCATTCCTCAGACTGTTATGTTTATTATATTCCACAAATAAGTGAGATCATGTGATATTTGTCTTTCTCTGCTTGGCTTGTTTCGCTTAGGATAATACCCTCCATGTCATCTCAAAGGATAAGAGATCTTTCTTTCTTACAGCTGCATAGTACTCCATTGTGTATATGTACCACAGCTTTTTTATCCATAGACAAATCAGTTTTTGTTTGTTTGGTTTTTTTTTTTCTTATCCTCACCCGAGGACATTCTCCCATTTTTTGTTCAGATAGAGTGGGAGGGAGAGAGAGGGAGAGAGAGAGAGAGAGGTAAACATCCACACGAAAGGGACACATCCAGTGGCTGCCTCCCACACAACCCAACCAGACGGTATGAACCCGGGTCTCTCTGGACTGCAGGCCAACGCTAACCGCTGAGCCAAACCGGCTAGGGCTAGACAAATAAGTTTTAAGGCAGAAGTCAATTCATCTGGAAGACTATTGCTGAGTTGGACCTAAACCACCCATTTTCACTGATTTACAAGACAATATACGTAGAACATTCCGGGGTGCTACAGCCAGTACACTATATGCAGTCCAGAACCCCTCAGGGGCATCCCTTCAACAGCCTGTCACCCTGTTGCTGAGAATACCTCCATGAGTCCTCCATAGCTCAGCGCCCAGCAGCAGAGTCAAAGAAGGTCGTCTGCTTCACCAGATGTAGCCCAGGGCCAGCAGCCAAGAGAAAACCACACCGATCATGGCAAATCTGCTCTACTAATTCTCATCTTGCTTTTGGCATTGGCAGCATTTATATTCCGACAAGTATATCTGGCCTATGAATACATATTTGAATTTGAGTTATAGTCCTGTTCTGTGTCTTCAGAGCCGTGCCTTAAAACTTATTTTTCTAGCTTCATTAAACATTCTTCATTGGGTATAATCTAAGAATCATTTACCAAAAAATAATAATAATAATAATTCTGGCCCTGGCCGGTTTGGCTCAGCGGTTAGAGCTGCGGCCTGCGGTCCTGAGAGACCCGGGTTCGGTTCCCGCTAAGGGCACGTACCTCAGTTGCAGTTTGTCCCCGGCCCTGGTCGGTCGTGCGGGTGGCAGCCACTCGATGTGTCCCTTTCACATCGATGTTTCTCTCTCTCTCTCTCTCTGTTCCGCTCTCTCCCTCCCACTCTACCTGAACAAAAAATGGAAAAATGTCCTCGGATGAGGATTAAAAAAGAAAAAAAAAAAAATTCTGTATTTACCCTTCATTCCTTTTTTGATCCTTATAAATTCAGTATAAATATAGCTAGATATTCAGACTGTGTCCTGCTTAGTTTAAGGGACTGGAAGTCAAGGGAAATAATTTGTTATTTCTCATGCCTCAGCTTCTTTTTATGTAAATT